ACACCAGGGAGGGCTTAGCCCTACTAGCCCACTTGTACCAGCCGTCACTGATGCCATGGCAGAAAAATAATTGTGCACCTGTTTCAGAAATACAAGTTTTAACTTTGACGGACTTGCACTGAATGAAAAATGAGTTAAAAGTTCAATGGAACATAAGAAATCATTTAAAGTGAAATAAATCTAAAAATATTTGTCTGTGCTTCAAACACAAATATTTTATCTAGGCATGTTTCATAATAAAACACAATGAAGTCATAATCACAATGATCAACGTAGTTAAATAGAAAAATAAAAACACTTAATCACTTTTACTGTAAAACAATAGTTGATTAAACAAACATTTGTGTAAAACAAACATTTCAACAATTTTCTTCTTGTGTGGTATTTCTTTTTATTAAGTATAACGTAAAAGATTAATTGTTACTCAATTATTAGGTAACTTTTGATTTATAAAACGATAACTTGTAGTTAAAAAGAGAATATAAATCAAAAAATGTAAAGAACATTATTATTTTGTTTGTTAGAGAAAATAAAATGTCTCTTGAGAAATGTTTTGTTTGTTTGTTTGTTTTTTAAACCAGAGTCAAAGACAAGTGGAAATGTTTATTTCCCCTTTGGGGAACCCTAAAGGATTCCAAAGATTCCTAAAAGCCGCAGACATTAACCTTTGCACACAGCAGCAGATATGAGGCCAACAGACCGGTTTAGAAACCKATGAAGAATGACTTTTTTTAGTCTCAAACAGGTTATGAAGCATTTTTCTCTAATATTTGCAGGTTTTGTTTGAATCGGGCGAGCAGACACACAAAATCAACGTGTCCACCTTCATAGAGATCCTGACCACACGCAGCGGCCCTCAGCTCTCCAAAAGTGAGTCGTTGAAAATGAATTTTTTTTTTTTTTTTTTGAGTTTCAAGAAGAGAAAGGTCTTGAAAAACAGGTGGAACCAAACAGGTGAGAGGAACACGCCCGTTCAGAGAAGAAACGCACCTTTTTCGCAGCAGAGTTGCAGGTCTTTACRTTTTTACACACAGAGGGATTCCCCAAGGCTCAACATTAAGCCCCTTTAAATTCCCAGATATTCATCTCTGCTTTGTAGCAGAAAAAGTCCAAACATGTTCATCCTAGCTGTTGTTTTTGTGTTTCCATCCCCTCAGGTGTGTTCTGCTCCACCTTGTGGTGCTGTAATGAACTTGTAATAAACTTTAACGTTTTGTCTCCAGCCTTCCAGCAGTACGCCACCATGAGTGACCGAACGCTACCTAAAGCTCTGCAGATGGAGCTGAGGGGGGACATTGAAGACTGCCTCATCAGTATCGGTTGGTTTTTATCATCTCATCACATTTGATCTGATTTAAAGCAGAACACAAGCCTGTTAACTTTACACCTGCTGAAACACAATTGGACTGTTCAGGCCAGAAACAAGGATGTAACCTCAGTTTGTCTCTCATTTCCAGTGAAATGTGCCTGGAACACTCCAGCTTTCTTTGCAGAGAAGCTCAATAAATCCATGAAGGTTTGAACCTTTTGTTTGCTTGTTTGAACTAGGAAAGTTCTGGATTTATGGATTTTAAACAGATTTATTTATTTAAATCTGATCCAACAGGGTCTTGGCACTCGTGACCACATGCTGATCCGGGTCCTGGTGAGCCGCTCCGAGGTGGACCTGAAGAAGGTGATCGAGGAATACAGGGCCATGTTTGGAAGAAGCTTGCAGGAAGACATTCTGGTAAAACAGTTTCTCCTCATTGTTGCCGTCAGTTTTTTTTTCTTTTTTTGAAACCACTGAGCTGATCTCTGATCTGTTTAACAGGCCGACACGAAGGGACATTACCAGAAAGTTCTGCTCGGCCTGTGTGGACCTCACTGAAAATCTGCTTTCATCAAAGTTTAAAACTGACTTTGGCTCAAACTTCTGATGTGGTTTATGTTAGAAACAAATCCATGTAATCTAAAACTGTTTTCTTTAGGTGGTTGAGTGTTTTTCACAGCTAACTATTGTAAAAGATGTTAAAATTAAATGAAATAAAAGATAATGAATTTTTTTTGAACAACTCGATGTGTAGTGGGGGGAAAAGTATCTATTGGAAATCTTTTTATTAGACAAGTTTCTGATCATGGAATAAAACTAAAATGTGATTCCTAAACATATTTTTTGTCTTTGAGTATTGTGCAAATATTACTTTTATTGTCTCTTTATTCAGCATTTTTAAAATTGTTTTTGGCAAAGATTGAAAAAAGTTAAATGAGTCCTGCTAGGGATTCAATAACTACAAAATTACTCACCCAGTTGTCTTTAAAATAAAACATTTCTACAATGGAAAAATATTTAAAAAGCCAGTGTCATGAGCCAGTGTCATGAGAGAATAGAATACAAACAGCCTTTATTGTCCCATGGAGGGGGAAGTCAGGTGTAGTAGCAGCGGCATCAGTTCACAAATAATAAAAAAATAAATAAAAATATGTTCATGATGAGGGAATGGAAGTTTCTGAGCACAACATTCTCATGTTCCTGGACATATTTCATAAAAACTTTTATTTTTTTAAAGAGTAAAATACATATTAGATCAATATTTAAAAAAAATAATTACCTAGTTTACATGCTTATCTTCCATAAACCCTATTTTAACCAAATGTTGGTGTTAGATTGGTATGGAAGCCCATTTCCGCCACCCTGATAAAAAAATAAGTAAAACTTGTATCTCATAATTATGACTTAGCTATCTCATAATTATGAGATAGTATCTCATAATAATGAGATAGCTAAGTCATAATTATGAGATAGAATCTCATAATTATGAGATAGTATCTCATAATAATGAGATAGCTAAGTCATAATTATGAGATAGAATCTCAAAATTATGACTTAGCTATCTCATAATTATGAGATACTGATAGCTATCTCATAATTATGAGATAGTATCTCATAATTATGAGATAGCTATCTCATAGATACTCATAGATACTATCATTATTATGAGATAGCATCTCATAATTATGAGATAGCTAAGTCATAATTATGAGATACTATCTCATAGTAATGAGATAGCTAAGTCATAATTATGAGATACAAGTTATATTTTTTTATCAGGGTGGCGGAAATGGGCTTCCACAGATTGGATCAGAGTTGGGGACAAGCACTTCTTGTTAACCTGAACAAAACAACCAATCATAGAAGCATGCTGATCAGCTCCGCCAATCACAGCACAGCATCCGTTACTCACAACTCCGCGCCGGTCTGCGCAGGCGCGAAGACCGACGAGTTGACGTATCCGGAAGTGCCGCAGCTTGTACGTTTTACCACTTTTATTTAGAGACTTTCGGGTATAATTTAGTTGATTTTAGTTAAAACGTTTGTATTTTTTTTTGTTCCAACGAAGCGATTAAATGGATTTATTCGACACAGAGCGGACAGGGAGCACGTGACGCCGTTAAAACCTTTAAAACCTGAACGGCAGAATGGAGAACAAACAGAAAATAAGCAGGCCTTGTTGTTTACTTCAGCGGTAAATGATGTCATTAACAGTGATGTGAAGTGTTGGGAACCTGTTCTCTGTCGACTTTTGGGAGCTTTAAGATGGAGGAGAAATACAGCAGCAACGTGCTGTCCGGAGGCAGGCTGGGGATGGTCGAAGTGCCAGATGCCAGGTAAAAACCAGGATTTGAGTTTATTTAATCCAGTAAAGTAATTTTTTAAACCAATCTCTCAGAATTAGTCATGATTTGAGTTGTGTGTTAGTCTGACACAGCTTCCACTTCAACTTTGCTATAAATGTGTTGATTTTTGTTGCATTCGTTTAACAAAAACTGAAAATTAAATAGAAAAACTGTGTTTTTATTTCAGGTTAACCAGATACATCGTTCTGCTGATCGTCTCAAAGGTCCTGAAAGCTTTAGGGATCTTTGAGTCGTATGATATCCTCAAAGTTGTTCATATAGTTCAGTTCATCTTCATATTGAAGTTAGGGTGAGTTCTCCTGGTCTTAACCAACTTTTACTTTGTGTTATTATTTTTTAACACTTATTTTGTTTACAGGAGTGCTATTATTCTGCTTTTCTTTCAAAAACCTTTTTCATCTGGAAAAGTTATCTCTAAAGGACAGGTTTGTTGAAAATTTTCATTCTTTTTCTTATGAGAGAAATAAAGATCATTATCAGCATATTTAGGCTTTTGTATAAGTAAAAAATGTTTGTTTATTTAAAACTGTGTCCTATAATAATCTGTTTTGTTTGTTTTTCAGTGGATTAAATTAGTTAAACACGCTGTTTGCAGCTGCATTATTTCCCTCCTGGGTTTCTTTGGTCTGACTCTCTGCGGACCTTTAAGGTAAAAAAACAAACATGCTTTTTTCTCAGTTAAATATTTTTCTGTCTTTACCTGAACACTTTGGTTGAATTAATTGAGCCAGTTTATAAGAAAGTCTCTGTACAGAATCTAAGTGTTTATTAAATAAAATCTTTTTGTTTCAGGACGTTGTTGCTTTTTGAGCACAGTGATGTTGTCGTCCTCGCCCTCCTCGGTGTTCTGTTCACAAATTCAGGAGGCGGACCGGCCAAGGTACCACTGAGACTGTAGCTTATTACCATCACATACTCTGTTTATTACTGCTAGTTTATTACCATCACTTACTGTTTATTACTGCTGGTTTATTACCATCACATACTCTGTTTATTACTGCTGGTTTATTACCATCACTTACTGTTTATTACTGCTGGTTTATTACCATCACATACTCTGTTTATTACTGCTGGTTTATTACCATCACTTACTGTTTATTACTGCTGGTTTATTACCATCACATACTCTGTTTATTACTGCTGGTTTATTACCATCACTTACTGTTTATTACTGCTGGTTTATTACCATCACTTACTGTTTATTACTGCTGGTTTATTATCTTTTTGTTTATTAGCATCTCTTAGCTTGTTTATTATTATCAGTTAGCTTGTTATTACTTTATTAGCATCAATTAACTTGTTTATTACTGTTTGTTTATTAGCATCAATTAGCTTGTTCATTTTTATTAGCATCAATTAGCTTATTGTTTTATTAGCATCGGTTAGCTTGTTTATTGCTGTTTGTTTATTAGCATCGGCTATCTTGTTTATTGTTGTTTGTTAGTATTGATTAGCTTGTTTGTTATTGTTAGTTTAATGTGGATTATTGTGGTTTGATTGTTGCTGTGGGTCATAATTAGTTTACTGTTGGTTACAATTTTTTTGCTGTTAGTCATAGTTTGTTTACTGTTGGTTATAACTTGTTTACTGTTGGTTATAACTTGTTTACTGTTGGTTTTAACTTGTTTACTGTTGGTTTTTACTTGTTTACTGTTGGTTTTTACTTGTTTACTCTTGGTTTTTACTTGTTTACTCTTGGTTTTTACTTGTTTACTCTAGGTTATAACGTTATAACTTGTTTACTGTTGGTTATAACTTGTTTACTGTTGGTTGTAACTTGTTTGCTGTTGGTTATAACTTGTTTGCTGTTGGTTATAACTTGTTTACTGTTGGTTATAACTTGTTTACTGTTGGTTTTAACTTGTTTGCTGTTGGTCATAGCTTGTTTGCTGTTGTTGTAAGTTGTTTTCTGTTGGTCATAACTTGTTTGCTGTTGGTTATAATGTGTTTGCTGTTGGTTATAACTTGTTTATTGTTGGTTATAACTTGTTTATTGTTGGTTATAACTTGTTTGCTGTTGGTTATAACTTGTTTGCTGTTGGTTATAACTTGTTTACTGTTTTCCCAGATCAAACATGTTTGTTGTGTTTGTGTCTGATTCAGACCAGAGGTGCAGCTTTCTTCATCATCGCTGTGATTTGCCTGCTGCTCTTCGACAATGATGACCTGATGGTGAAGATGGGAGACAACCACCACCGTATCCTTTCATTTTACCTGATCTCCGGTTCTGGTTCTGGTTCTGGACTGTTTGGGTCTTGACTTGTAACCAGCTGAGGGACACCACGACAGCGCGCTCACACATTTCCTCTACACGACCATTTCCCTGCTGGGCGTGGCGGATCATAAGGTGACTATTTCTGCTCAGGTAGTTATTTTAGATGTGAAATCCGGTGACTCTGGTGGTCTCCTCAGGGTGGGGTTGTGCTGCTGGTGGCCTCTCTGTGTCTGAAGGTGGCCTTCCACACGGCATCCAGGAAGTTATCCGTGGAGATCGGCGGCGCTAAGCGGCTCTACGCTCTGGACAACCTGGTTTCTGCGGCGGTGCTGTTGCCCTGGGTCATCGTGCTGTCAGCGACCACCGAGGTGCAGGAGACCCGCCTGAATGACAAACAGTGATGAACAAATCTTTTGTTTTTGTTTATTTTAAAAGCTGCGTCTCTGCAGAGCAAAGTGGAGTCGTGGTCGCCCCTCCTCCTGCCGCTCGGGATGATCATCTTCTCCGTCACGATCCTGGAGTTTTACGTGGAGGCCGTCTGCAGTGCCAAGATGGAGATGCCGCGGTGCGCCCGCTACGGCGCCATCGCCCTCTTCCTGAGTGCGCTGCTTCTGGCCAACTTCTGGACCCACCCCATGACGGACCCGCTGCGGTCCGTGAGGCAGCCGGGCAGCACGGAGCACGTGCTGTCCGGTGGCGTCATCGTCAGCGCCGTCTTCTTCATCCTGGGTAAGAACGCCGGCGGTCGGGACGCGGCCTTAACCCCACCCGGTTGATGGCTAACCATCGCTCGTCTCTCCGCAGCGTCCTGCATCCTGTCGTCTCCGTCCAGGAGGGGTCAGAAGGGCACCCTGGTGGGCTACTCTCCCGAGGGGACGCCGCTGTACAACTTCATGGGCGACGCCCTGCAGCACACGTCTCAGTCGCTGCCTCGCTTCATCAAAGACTCGCTCAAACAGATCCTGGAGGAGTACGACTCCAGGCAGATCTTCTACTTCCTGTGTCTCAACCTGGTACGTCCGTTTACTGAATTCCTCCTTTCGAAATAAGAGCTTTGTAACAAAAACACAAGAATTCAAATAACTTCTGACTTATCATCAGCTTTCTTCACCTGCTTCTTATTTCTGGGTTGTGTGGGTCCATTAGTCACTGTGCAGGGGTGGGGGACACCCTGGACAGGACAGTCCAACACAGGGACACACAGAGACAAAGGACAGTTTAGAGCAGGGGTTCTCAAACKTTTTGGTTCTGGGGACCCCTTACAAGAGTGAAATATTTCCAGGGACCCCCTCATAAAGCCCATGCTGTTTTAAAAATAATTTACTAATAATATTAACCCTTAAATACCACAGTAATATTATGTTTCGACTGGTTTAGTATGTTTGTTTTACTACTGCATTGTTCCCCATGTGCATTTTTAAAAATAAAAACCAAATTAACAATTTATTGAATTTTTTTAAGCCCCCCACCCCCCCCAACATACGACTCATTGGTGGACCCGATGGAAGCTCCTATGTTGAATAGTTTTTAAGTTATAAGCATTTTTGTTTCTCCAGACACCTCCTTTTTAGATGGAGCCCCCTCCTCAAATATGGGGTCTATTGTAAAACCGTTGGCTGGCGCAGTGTAGGTCGGACTCATCTGCAGCCCTGACAAATTTCATGTTGTTCAGCTGCTTCTGTGCTACGGTTGACAAACAAACAAACAAACAAACAAACTTCAGCTCTGTATCTGTAAAACTGACACTTACAACCACTGGTCATGTTGATGAGCTGTGACGGCCATCTTGTATTGGTTCTTTGTTCGTTTTGTTAAGTTACTGAAAGTTTCTTTAAGATCTGATGGTTCGGAGGATATTTTRCTAACAGACATGGACTTGACGTTTGCAGGCGTTCACGTTTGTGGAGCTGTTTTACGGCGTTTGGACCAACAGCCTGGGTCTGATCTCTGACGGCTTCCACATGCTGTTCGACTGCTCCGCTCTGGTCCTCGGCCTCTTTGCCGCCCTCATGACCCGCTGGAAGGCCACCAGGATCTTCTCCTTCGGGTAAACTATTTATCTATTTATTTATTTATTTATGAAGATTATTTTTGATTTAATTTATTTATTTGAGAAAAAGGGGCAGAAATCATAAGATTTTTCTTCTTCTGCTACCTTTCATTTACTTTATGATTTGTATTTTTTTATTGTATATTAAATTAGTTTTGTTTTAAATGAATAAACTTTATAAAAAAAATTAATAAAAACGTTTTTTTAAAGGAACTTTGTTTTTTTTTAAAGTGGTTCCGTCTCTGCTCTGCAGGTTCGGTCGGGTCGAGATCCTCTCCGGTTTCATCAAYGGCCTCTTCCTGATGGTCATCGCCTTCTTCGTGTTCGTGGAGTCCGTCACGCGGCTGCTGGACCCCCCCAACATAAACACGGACATGCTGACCGTGAGTCCTGCTCAAACCTGAGACGGTGGACAGTGGGGAGCGTTTAATGAAACCATCAGCTTTGTTCTCCGTCTTTAAACCAAAGCTAGAACGAGGCGACCGTAAACGGACCCGGGTCAGAGCGGGTCTCTGGTTCTGAGCTGCGTCTGAGACGATAAACAAACATTTTAATCGTCTCCAGATGGTTTGAATTAAACTGAACCAGTTGGTTCTCCTGTGCAAACAAGCGGAGCGATGGTGTTATCAGGCAGTTGCTAGAGTAAAAACCAGAGTGTTAAAAAAAWCAGTGTTAAACTTTTCAGAGTCCATTTAACTCCCCCTAGTGTTATTTTAACACTTTCTGAGTGAACGGACTTCCAGTGTTGGTGTTAATTCATAGTGTTGACTTCCTGAGTGTTGTGTCAACACTGGACAGTGTTAAATAAGCTCCGCCCATGGTTAAGTTATTTAACACTTAACAGTGCAGTGTTGAAAAAAKCATTCTGAAAAAGACCCGCCCTCTTCCACCTCATGTCAGGGACCAGTATTTTCACAGCAAGGAATGCTGGGTAATCTTGTAGAAATGATGTTTGTATGTTGATGACTTTTAAAGAAGTTTGAGTTTTAAAAAAAATGAGTTGTTGTAGTTGTTTTATTCAGGTTTATCAGTTGATCAAGTTTAAGTTTGTGTTATTGACCATAAATCAACACCATAAGTGAGAGGTACTTCCTGCTGTGTGAAGGTCGACTCCATTTATCCAGACACTACAGTGTGATGTTAACGCAACACTAAAAAGAGTTGATCTTAACTCTAAAGTGTTGAACTTACACTTTCAAATTTGATATAATGACACCTCATAGTGTTTGTTTTACTCCCCTGTACACAGCAAAAGATAAATAATCAGCACAAGTGTCAAATTAACACTCATAGGAGGTATATGAACCTCCAGTGTTAACATCAATAACTCAGTGCAGTGTTGAAAAGCATGAGAATCAGAGTTGATTCGTCACCACAGTAGAGTACCTTATTAACTCTGCTTAGAATCATAATTACTCTCATCACTTATTTGACTTGAAGTGTTAAGTTTTATTAACACTGTGCAGTGTTAAGTTTTATTAACACTGTGCAGTGTTAAGTTTTATTAACACTGTGCAGTGTTAAGTTTTATACACCAATTCATATAAGGACTAAATAGACTCGGACACTGTTAAATTTAGCTCTTTAAGTGTTGATTTAACACTGCAAAATTTACTGTGTAATGATGGATCTGTCCTCTGCAGCCCGTCTCCGTCGGGGGTCTCCTGGTCAACCTGGTGGGCATCTGCGCCTTCAGCCAYGCCCACTCTCACGGCGGCAAAAGCTGCTCGTCGCACGACCATGGCCACTCGCACCACGGCCATGGCCACGGCCACGGCCACGGTGAGCACAGCCACGGCGGTCACGGCCACTCCCACTCCCACGGCGGCGGGGGCGGCGGGATGAACGCCAACATGAGAGGTTTGTGACGGAGGGGGGAGGGGACTGAAACCCCGCCTCCTGACGTGATGGGGGGACTGAAACCCCGCCTCCTGACGTGATGGGGGGACTGAAACCCCGCCTCCTGACGTGATGGGGGGACTGAAACCCCGCCTCCTGACGTGTTCTCCTCTCCACAGGCGTGTTCCTCCACGTGCTCGCCGACACGCTGGGCAGCGTCGGCGTCATCATCTCCACCCTCCTGATCCGGCAGTTCGGCTGGTTGATCGCAGACCCCATATGCTCGCTCTTCATCGCCACGCTCATCTTCCTCAGCGTCATCCCCCTGCTGAAGGACGCCTGCGAGGTTCTGCTCATACGGACCCCCCCAGAACTGGAGAAGAACCTGAACGCCGCACTGGAGAAGGTGAAGACGAGCGTGCAGAGTTGTGAGTCGTGACGTCTGGAGAAACGTATTAAAAAGTCGTCTTTGTTCTGGTTTCAGATCGAGAAGATCGACGGCGTTTTGTCCTACAGAGACCCTCACTTCTGGAGACATTCGGCCGCGACGGTGGCCGGGACCATCCACCTGCAGGTCATGTCCGACGTGGTGGAGCAGAGGATCGTTCAGCAGGTTGGTGCAGAGCGTTAGCTACATGTAGCTAAAGTTAGCTTACTTTTAGTTCCTCTGAGTCGAGGCTCTTAAAGGGACAGAACCGTCAGATTTGAAGCGATGTCTTTAGCCATGCTAGGCTAACACTGCGAAAACTGTCCATCTAACCAAGTTTTAAAATCTTATATCAGCCAAAAAGTCTTTGATCTTGTTTTGGGACTGATTTACTAAACAAGAACTGATTGTGTAAGAATAATCATCTTGTTTTCAGAATGTGTAACATTTGTCTTGTTAGTCTGAAAATTTGACTCAAGTCAAAAATTTGTTGCCAATGGAGTAAGAAAATTTTACTTGCTAAGATTCTTAAAATACTTGATTTGACTCAGTTTTTTCTTATTTCAAGAATCTTACCAAGTAAAATTTTCTTACTCCATTGGCAAATTTTTTTGACAATGTGAGTCAAATCTTCAGGTTAACAAGACAAATAATCTGACACATTCTGAAAACAAGATGATTATTCTTACATAATCAGTTCTTGTTTAGTAAATCAGTCCCAAAACAAGATCAAAAAGACTTTTTTGGCAGGATATGGTTTTAAAACTTGGTTAGGTGGACAGTGCTAACCAAACTGAAACCGTTTCCTATTATTTTAGGCTAATTAATCAACTCTCAGAAACAGAGGTGTCAAACAACTTTCCTTAAAATAAGAACTGAGTTGTGGAGAGTTAAGAGCCGTTCTTAGTTGTTGTTTTTTTATCTTCTTGTAATATATTTATTTTTCCTCTTTAACCGCCTCTCCTAAAAAAAAATTAGCTAGAGCTAAAAAAAAAAATCAACAAATGGCAAAAACTGGCTGATTTAGCTAGCCGTTAGCCTTTTCCTCTGACAATGTCTCTGCCGATAGCTGCTGCTTTTTAGCAGCTTTTCTCTGAAAGCGTTAATTATTCAAATTAGTGCAGCAATAAATATCTCACCTGTCTTAGATATCTCTTGAAACGACGTCAGTTTGGAACAAATATGGTTTAATTCTGACGAGCTAATGGCTAGTCAGAACACTAAAGCGTTCAGACGAACCAGGAAGAAGCCCATGTTGAACGAACGCTGCTAGCCGTTAGCTCGTCGGTCAGAATTTAACCCTTTCTATRAACTGATGTTGTTCATCTACTGCAGGTAAGATATTAGCTGTTCATCCCCGTCCCACAGAGCTACACTGTAAAACCTGACCTGCTTAATCTCCTCGTCTTGTAGGTGACGGCCATCTTGAAAGACGTGGGGGTGAACAACCTGTCGGTGCAGGTGGAGAAGGAGGCCTACTTCCAGCACATGTCCGGACTCAGCACCGGGTTCCAGGAGGTCCTGGCCATGACTCAGCAGATGGARTCCATGAAGTACCTGAACGATGGGACTCGTATCATGTGACGCAGACAGATGACCACTTCTATTTTAGTTTAGTTTATTTCTTTGAACTGTACACGTTTCTGTTGGAATAAATCTGAATATAAAACTTTTCTTATTTTGTTTTGCTTTAGCGTGAAGACAAAAGAAAAGCAATATTTAATGTTCTCGGTTTGTTTAAGCAGCATTAATCTAATGCATATAAAGGTGAAGGTTTAACCTCTGTTGCTACGGAGCAGAGAAATGATGACTCAGCAGATGTCTGAGTGACTCGTCGATTTGTCTAATGTGCAAAAAAATGAGTATCTGTGTGGAAGTGGGGGGTCGATGCATCCTGCTGCAGCTGTTCCCTCTCCCTCATTTATTCGATCTCATTGGAGTTTCCCACGGCAGCTCGGACCTCCGTCTCTGCAGAGGAAACAGAACCATCAGGGTCCAGACTCGGTTCTGATCAGGATCAAAGGCCCTGTGACATGCCTATCCTTCTTTTATAACATGTCTCACCTTTACAACAAAAAAATCTGCATGAAAATCTGATCAAAATTGACCAAGTAATGGTTATTTAAATAGTAAATACACCACACACATTAATGCTAAGAGTGGGTGAGCTGCCCTTCCCAAGATGGCCGCCGTGTGAGGAAGTCGGTCTCCATTCGCCAACAGAGGGATGACTTATCTAGCCTTTATATATTTATGATCTCAGCAGCATGAAATTTATTTTGAAACATGTTATTGTTCTCTTTCCAAAAAAATCATTCACATGTATAATAAAGATGTGATGTCACAGGCACTGCTCACCTGGGCAGGGTCCGCTCTTCAGGGTGATGTCATCGATGGCGACGTCGCTCCTCACCGACGGCCCGCGGACCGCCTCGAACACGATCTGAGGTGGGAAAACGTCAGGAAGTTATCTTCTCGTCCCGCCTGTTGTCTGAAACAGAACCAGGAATAAAAACGGGTTCGTCAGGTCTCACCTGGTGCCGAGCCTCGCTCCGGTACTCTACCCGGGCCCTCAGCCAGGCCACGCTCTGCTCGCCGCTCCGCTGCCACAGCAACTCGTCCTCTCCGTTCTTGCTGGCGAGGACCCTCAGAGTCCCCGATCCGGACCCGTACAGGTGGTAGTAGAACTGCAGGCACTGGGGGCCCCTGGTTCCCCTGAAGGGGCGGCTCAGCAGCCGGGCATTCTGACCCGGCAGCATGGGCGACGCCTCCATGTACAGGTAGTGACCTGTCCGGGGCGTCCACAGGTTACCATGGTTACAGAGACACACCTGACCAATCTGTACCAGGATTTATGGTCCTCACCCAGACCCGTGGTGTGGTCCCCTCTGGGCCCCGTGTAGGAGGTCGGGGTGGGTCCTCTCCTCCAGTCCCAGTCTCCAACGTCCCCCCGTTTGTCCTGGTGGTACCCGCAGAACCCAAACTCAAAATCACAGTGACCCGGGACAGGAGACAGACCTGGAACCAGAAGAGTTTCAGTTCCTCATCCAGGATCCAACCAGGACCACCAAACATGAACAAGATCCAAACAGGACCACCAAACAGGACCCAGACCCTGGAAACTGACCCACCAAACAGAACCAAGACCCTGGAAACTAACCCACCAAACAGAACCAAAACACTGGAAACTGACCCACCAAACAGAACCAAGACCCTGGAAACTGACCCACCAAACAGAACCAAGACCCTGGAAACTGACCCACCAAACAAAACCAAGACCCTAGAAAATGACCCATCAAACAGGACCCAGACCCTGGGATCAAACCCACCAAACAGAACCAAGACCCTGGGATCAAACCCACCAAACAGAACCAAGACCCTGGGATCAAACCCACCAAACAGAACCAAGACCCTGGGATCAAACCCACCAAACAGAACCAAGACCACGGGATCAAACCCACCAAACAGAACCAAGACCCTGGAGACTAACCCACCAAACAGAACCAAGACCCTGGGATCAAAGCCACCAAACAGAACCAAGACCCTGGAGACTAACCCACCAAACAGAACCAAGACCCTGGAAACTGACCCACCAAACGAAACCAAGACCCTAGAAAATGATCCACCAAACAGGACCCAGACCCTGGGATCAAACCCACCAAACAGGACCCGGACCCTGGGATCAAACCCACCAAACAGATCCAAGACCATGGAGGTTCAACCCACCGGAACCAGGGTTGTGGAAACCGACCCGTTACCTGCCGTCAGCTCACAGTCTCCAAGGTTGAGGCTGATGTCGTCCAGCGCCACGGACCCACAGTCCCAGAAACTCCTGCAGGTGCTGACGAAGACCATCTGCAGGACAAACGGACGGTCAGCAGCTCCTCTGGTTCAGATCCTGTAGTCCAGAACCTGTGGTCCATCTGAGTTCTGACTTTATTAATCCAGTGATTTGTTTTTTCGAACTTTTCTCAACTCTTTCATCATTTTTCTGTTTATTTTCCTTCATTCTTTCATTGTTTGATACTTTTTCTTCACAGTTTTCCCTCCTGACCTTTTCTCTCAGCAGCCATTTGGAAAATAAAAGTTTTATGTTTTAGGCCCAAAAAAAAAGAAAAAAAAAAAGAAAGAAAAACCATCTGGTCCTGACAGAACCTCAGACCAGTTTAAAATCCTCTGTTTTAGAGAAAACTTGTATTTTTCCTCTCAGACTCCATCGGCTCCTCTCACCTTGGCAGGTTGTGATGTCTGGAAGGTGACGTCTGCCGCGATCCAGATCCCCCTGGACCTCTCCGCCTGGGTCCAGATCTTCTCCTGCCTGCCGCCCTGCTGCAGCAGGTAAACCACCAGGGCCTGCTCCGTCTGGTTGAAACCTGCCGAGGTCACACCACGAGAAAACCTAAAGCGGGGCGCTCAGGGACGGCTCGGGCGGGCAGAGGAGTTTGTGGATCAGCTCACCCCTCAGGGAGAAGTAAAACCTCAGGCAGAACTTGGTGTTCCCGGGCAGAGCCGGGCTCGTCAAGCGGCTAACGTATCCGGAGCGAGGGCCCAGGCGGGAGTGAGCCAACAGGAAGGATCCTGGAAGGAGAAGGCAGATTTTTGATTTTCCAGCTCATCACAGCGCACAAATACTTTCTTAGTTTCCTTTTTTTCCCTCACATCTGTGTTTGGACGTCTGAAAGCTGCGAATTCTGAGATAAAAATCACTTTAAACCCTGACTGTTGGAGCAGGTTTGTAAAGTTTGTGAGCAGCTTAAAAATCTGTGAAGTCACATCTATAGAGACGTTTTCTGCTTCAAATAAAAAAAGAAAAAAGTTGARAAAYGACTGATTTTATCACCAGAGCGTCTTCTCGGTCACCGACCTGCTCATTCCTCTGAATAAGGCTCCTGTTATTTCTGCACAAGGCTTTTCCAGAGGATAATAAAAAATCTTTATAAACCAGAAATATTTTGATTTGAACACAGAGGTTTGGAGGTTTTTCTTGGTCCTAAACTCACTGAAACCTCACACACGACATAAACTTTAACAAAAAGGAAGGAGATTAGAGTTTGGTAGATTATTTCTTTGTTGTAAACTAAACTCTTCGGCAAACTTTTCCCACAAATGCCTGATCCTTACAAATGTGGCGCCATTTAAAATTTAAATGAACAAACTTTCTAACAGTAAAGATTTATTACCAAGAAGAATTGTTACATAAATTAATTTCCTAATTTTTTGCATTTGAACTATTGTAGGGGTCACCTCGAGTGAAGAAACAAGATTTACTGCCTCGAAGCAGGCCTTAAGCTCACTCTTATTCTAGAAAATATAAGTGTCATTCTGAATAAAAGTCATTTTTTGTAATTTTCACCTAATTTTTCCATTTTGTTGTTCATAAAAAGTGTAGAAAAACAACTCACTGAGGTAAAAAGCTTTATGTTATAAAAAAGTAAATTATTATTTTCTTCACTTTATTTAAATGGCGCCAGGTCACAACACAAGTCTCAGGGTTTTGTACAGAAACTAATACATTTTAAAAACCCAGCAGATTGATTTGATTTGATTTATTTATTTAACAGGAAAAGACTAATAAAAATCAAGCCTGACTCAGCATAATTGCTGTTTTACAGCAGGTTCCTGTTCTGCAGCACATAAAACACTCAGAATTACAGCATCACAATCACATCATTATACACCATAGACACAAAGACAAACAAGCATACCAAATTTCAGGAAGGCAGCATTTGCAAAATAGGATGTCTAAATATGAGCACAACAAAAAGTGTCCAGCAGATGGCAGACAAGATTCTTCTTAAAGGGCTGTAGTTTTGAAATGGACTTTATGTTTTGAGGAATGTCATTCCATGCTTTAGTATAAACATAGAAGAAAGACCTCTGGCCTCAACAGTTTTTAAAAGTTGGTAATATCAGTTGTCCTTTTGTAACAGATCTAGTTGAATGACCACTTCCAGAATTTGATTTGGGCAACAATGCACAGAGAGTTCCATAATTGGCACCTTGGAAGATCTGAAAATATAAATTAATACCACTATACAAAACATAATTCTGAAAAGTCAAGGCATCAGACAATGAAAGAACTGTACAGTGATGAGTCCAACCAGGAAGTTTTTTATGAATTTTGTAGGCCCTGTTGTAGAGCCTAACTATGGGTTCTAAGATTTCATTTGTTGTAAGAGACCAAACAGGTAAACAGTACGACATGGTTGAGAGTATAATGGCATGAAGATAGACATTTGAAACAGAAGATGTCAGATTGGGTCCAATTTTTGAATAAACGTATAATTTCTGTTTCAACTTAGTAGTTAAGACTTGTACATGATTGTATTGAATCACTTCATCACAGTTGATTATATTGGGATRAACAATTCTGAGCAGCACATTGGTGACAGTGGAAAGGAAAAACTCCCWTTTAACGGCAGAACCAGGCTCAGGACGAAGCCGGGAGAGAAGCAGCAGCCATGCTAAGCTAAYGCTAACGGGAGTTAGCAGATCCCAAAGAAGTGTTGAAAGACAATCCAACAGTAGGAGCTAACTGTTGAGGGAGACTTTGAACTAGAACAAAACGTTACCARTAAATGTAGAGTAAAACAGGAAGTGACACATCACACCGCGAGCGTCAGCCTCTAAGTTCTGCTGTAAGATTTAGATTTTTCTATCTGTGAAGAGAAAACCGTCCCACCTGCTCCAGTGGTGTGGTCTCCATTCCTGAAAATGTTGGGCTTCACAGAAACTCTCCTCCAGGACGAACCGTCGGCCCGGTCCTGRGTGTAGTGGCAGAGACCGGACTCAAAATCACAGCTGGCCACGGWGGGGTCAAAGGTCGGCTCTGGAAGTGGATCAGACCCGTGAAGAAGGAGAAGCATCAGAGCGACGGTGGGCTTTTTAACGGCTCACCTGTGTCTGAGCTGCAAAACTCTGGAGCGAAGGAAATGTCGTCCAGAGCAACATGGCCGCCTCTGGGACTGTTGAAGGTCACTTCAAAGATCACCTGAGGGTTCACGCAGAAACATCAACACAACTTTTTACCGTTTTTATTATCAGTGCAGCAAAAACAGAGTCTGRGCTACARAATGCATCACCTGGACTGAGTACGGCGCCTTCAGGTCCACCTGCACAGGTATCCACTCCCCGAGGGTGGTGYCCCAGTCCTCCTGGCTCTCTGATGCCGCCCTCCACAGCTCCTGGTACTGGCCCAGGCGGTCCCGGGTGAAGACGGAGAACAGGTTCCCCCTCTGCTCGCTGCGTTGGTACTGGAAGCTCAGGCACCCGGACATGGGCACCGTCGTCATGGGGGACACCAGCTTGGCCACCTCCCTGAAGGTCTTGGTGAAGCTGGAGTCCACGTACATGAAGTGACCTGAGGAGGACCTCCAGAACCTCACAGATCCGCTGGCTGTTGTGGTTTCAGCTAACTGTTTCCACAGTGTTTAAATGACTATCCTGGGACCTGAGGATGCTGCTGATTACATGTTTACAGGCTTTTCTCTGGTTTCCTCACTCTAAAAATAAAAATAAAAACACTTTCCCATCTTCTCATTTGACCTGAGCACTGTCCTGAAAACTCAGAAGGTTAAAAACGTTCGTCACTGGAGTGGATCTGGACGTGAACGGGACTTACCGGTCTTGTTCTGGTAGGTGTGGTCACTGGGCATGTGGTTGTGCAGCCGGTGGACCCCGCCTCCTCCTACGTACCAGTTCACGTTGACGTTCCACAGGTTGTTGTAGCCACACAGGTGAGGCTCCTCAAAGTCACACTCTGGAGTCAGACGGAGGAGATGGGCACAGACGGGCCGAGAAAAGACCCGTAAACATGGGGCGTATTTAGCTCACTGTTCTTATATTTAGCTCATTTTTACTAAATGTTCAATTTAAATGTTAAAAAATATGTTTAAATATTAAATCCTAAATGTTTAAATCTAAATGTAAAACCTAATCCTTAATGTTAAAGTTCACATTTAGGTATTTTAGAATGGAACGCAGCCTTTGCTGTTGGTGCTTGGCTCGTGTTATGACATCATCATCCAGAGACAATAGCAACCGCTAGCTCCAATGCAGCTAAAGCTTCCCTACAAGACATCAAACTTGCAGTTCTGGCTGGTATCTGAGCTGCACTTCAAACTGCTGGACCACAGGGACCACCCATATTGTGTTTTTATGAACACATTTTGAATTTAGATTTTAGCAGTGGCTCGCAGCAGTCATTGTTGATGTTTGTTGCAGGATGATAACTTCATGCTGGTTAACTGACGCTAACTTATGCTAACGCTTCTAACACCGCTGAAGAGAATATTTAGAATATAAATTCAAAATGTGTTCAGAAAAAACAATAAGAGTGGTCACTGTGATCCAGAAATTAGAAGCCTTGTAGGGAAGCTTTAGCTGCATTTAGCAGTGCTAGTGGTTGCGATAGTCTCAGGATGATGACATCATAACATGAGCTGAGCACCAACAGCAAAGGCTGCGTTCCATTCCAAAATACCTAAACATGAACCTCAACATTTAAGGTTTAGATTTAAACATTTAGGATTTAATATTTAAACCTATCTTTTAACATTTAAATTTAACATTTAGTAAAAATTAGCTAAATGTAAGAACAGGGAGCTAAAGAAAAATATGTTATTGAAAGTTTTTAACATTTAATTTTAAAC